TGCGGTATGGCGTGCTTTACAATCAGGGTTGTTAGCGGCGTCTTCCAAAGTTCTTATAAGTACTTATTTTGCCAAAATATAAATAAGGGCCCTTATATAGTACTTATTTCTCCGGTAGAAACTTAGAAAAGTACTTAATAGTCCTTATTTTTTTTTAATGTTTTATAACTGTTCTCGACTATAGAGTAAGAAGTTGTTGTATATACTAATACGGAATAATATAAATCTGCTGGTGCAATTGTGTCATATATAATATTATTAGGTGTAACTTTAATAGTCGGTGATCTATCAGAAATCGCCATGAAAAGGTCTTGTTTTGGCTCCGTAGTTAGTAGTATGGTTTTTATAAGTCCTTATTTAACTGTGGCCTGTGGTGGATATTATATTCTCTCACCGGTGTCTCGTCGCTTGCCCCGCAGGCCAAGTGTCCGTGGACGGTGCCGCCAGCAAACGAGATCTACCGCAAAGACGACCTGTCCGTGTTCGAGGTAATACACTGGCAATCACATGTAATGCCACACGTCATCTAAGGCCTAAAAAAAAGACGTTTGATTCCCCGCGCCTAATCCGACCCCGAGTCCATTTTAAACCCTGTGGGTGTCGAAACTTCTTTCATTGGATGGGCGCAAAAAAAATATAATAAAAAAATATTTTTTAGCTCCTTAGCAGAAACAAACATCTTTTTTCTTAGGGCTAATGAATTCACTACCCTCACTAGTTTACCCTCATAGTTCATCCAGAGTTCGCAGCAGCCCTAGGTTATTATTTTATAGTCGACTTAAAAATCATTTTTTAGCTTGTTAGCGGAAACAAACATATTTTTTTCTTAGGGCTAATGAATTCACTACCCTCACTAGTTTACCCTCATAGTTCATCCAGAGTTCGCAGCAGCTAAGCTATATTATAGTCGACTTGGTGTTAGCTTGCACCTCTATAGCACAGGCATCCGTCCGTAAAGCACAGTTTTGGGGGATTCTATTTGTTGAGCGTCGTGTGCATGTTACGACTGTATTTCTAAATGCTTAAGCCCGGCGCACACGTGAGTTATTTTACTCAAGTAAAATGACTCATGAGTCAAATTACTCAACGAAAATTTGCCGCACACGTGAGTAAAATGACTCATGCGTTATTTTACTTGAGTAAAATAACTCACGTGTACGCCGGGCTTTACACCTTGAAATTACGCCTTAAGCTTGTGTGTTTTTTAGACGCCATTGCCAAGGCTCTGTTTATGTAGTATATTCGAATTAGTTTCATGTTAACAACAATTTTACTACGACTCCTATTACTTACTATATTATTATGACTTATTATAAGTACTATTAGTACTTATTAGTACTTATTATAAGTACTTATTATTACTATATTACGTACAGGTTGATGGCAACGTGTCGAAGATCTACTGTCAGAACTTGTGCCTGCTAGCTAAGCTATTCCTCGATCACAAGACCCTCTACTACGATGTCGAACCCTTCCTCTTCTACGTCCTCGCCAAGTCGGACGAGCACGGCTGCCACCTGGTGGGCTACTTCTCGAAGGAGAAGCACTGCCAGCAGAAGTACAACGTGTCGTGCATCATGACGATGCCGCAGTACCAGAGGCAGGGCTACGGCCGATATCTCATCGATTTCAGTGAGTGCTGGCCGGCGGAGGAGGAAGCGGGGCTTCATTTGATGAACTAATGCTAGACCCCGCTACCGTCATTGTTAATCGCGGTGCTCTATGGTCTCCTGCTGGTGGATTTTTTTGAACTAATGCTAGAACTACAACTGGAATTTTTAATATAGATTTTTATTTACTAGAAAGTGATACAATAATGTACAGAAACTCCCCGACTTACAGGTTCGGAACGAACGAACAGGTTCGGTTCCGAGCGGTCGTTCATAAGTCGATTTGTTCGTAAGTCGAACATATGTACGTACGTATACAGTATTGTACTGTAGTGTAGTATATGTACGTGTGAACATCGAGTAACCTAGAAGTGTACACAGTATAAACATATACGTGAATACAGGAGTTGGCGAAAGTCAAAATCAAGGGGGCGATTTTATTGATATATGATTGGTCTTTTTATTCACCAATATTGACATTATACACTAATGGACTTCAGGGCAAATTGTTTGTATCATCGAAAGTTCGTAACTCGAATGTTCGTAAGTCGGGGAGTCTCTGTAATTACAATTCATGGAAGTGCTATTGTAGTACGAGTAATACAAGTCGTATTGATGAGTTGCGAGTTATCTGACGGCACATAAATGTGTTCGTGCGTGTGTGATTGCAGGCTACCTGTTGTCGCGGTGTGAGGGACAGCCGGGCACGCCTGAGAAGCCGCTGTCAGAGCTGGGCCGCATCAGCTACCAGGCGTACTGGAAGTCACGAATCCTAGAACAGCTGAACAAGTGCACACAGCAGGAGCTGCGCAAGGTCTCCATCAAGAGTAAGTGTAAATTTAAACTCTTGTCTTGTCTTGTCTGGTACGGTACTCATCGCCTGGTGTGGCTATAAACGTACAGTTCATCATGTATCCCTTCTGATAACCTAATTGTTTCCCACATTTTCTTTACTGCTGTTAATTAAATTTGTGA